GCAGAAATGTTTCCTGGCAATGGTGTGGAGACCCATGGATTAGTTCATCAGCAACATAAGCAGCTAATAAGAGCCAGAGAACAGCAGGAAAGTGCCGGGGTGTAGATTAACACGGACCAGGTGAACATTACAGGAAATTCAGATAGAAGGAAAGATTGGGAACAAAGCATCTTCATTTGTTAAGAATGTAATTTCCAGAACTTCAGAAATTTTGCAGAAAACACAGGTAATATAAAAAAATAGTGGAGAAGTCCATGAAGTGCAATAAATGAGCTAAATTTCCCATAAAATACTAGGAGATATTTTAAAAATTAATTTGTTAAACCAAGATGGACATGGACTCTAGAGAGAAAACACAATGATTAGAAATAGCATTTGTTCCAACAAACAGAAAGGGAAGTTTAAGTAATATGCACAGATTATGTTGAGAAAATTGAAAATATATCATAGAAAATACAATGTGTCCTTGTGATATTATGATGTGTGTGTGTGTGCATGTGTGGAGGTTTTTATCCATGATTCCTGACTCATAGTTCCCACAGCCCTTCTTATAGTCATGTGTTATAGTGTTGTGGTGCTTTATGCCTCAAAAGAAGGCCGCAAGAAACAGAACCTCTCTCTCTGACCCGTTGCTCAAGACAGGAATTTAACCTGCTTCTGCTTTTCTTTCTCTTTTCCTTTCTTTTCTTTTCTTTTCTTTTTCTATTCTTTTTTTTTTTTTTCTGAGACGGAGTCTCGCTCTGTCGCCCAGGCTGGAGTGTAGTGGCTGGATCTCAGCTCACTGCAAGCTCCGCCTCCTGGGTTTACACCATTCTCTTGCCTCAGCCTCCGGAGTAGCTGGGACTACAGGCATCCGCCACCTCACCTGGCCAGTTTTTTTGTATTTTTTATTAGAGACGGGGTTTCACCGTGTTAGCCAGGATGGTCTCGATCTCCTGACCTTGTGATCCGCCCGTCTGGGCCTCCCAAAGTGCTGGGATTACAGGCTTGAGCCACCGCTCCCGGCCTTTTATTTTATTTTATTTATTTATTTATTTATTTTTGGAGTTTCGTTCTTGTCCAGGCTGGAGGGCAATGGCATGATCTCGGCTCACCACAACCTCCGCCTTCCAGCTTCAAGCGATTCTCCTGCCTCAGCCTCCCGAGTAGCTGGGATTACAGACATGCGCCACCACACCTGCCTAATTTTGTATTTTTAGTAGAGATGGGGTTTCTTCATGTTGGTCAGACTGGTCTCGAACACCTGACCTCTTGTGATCCACCTACCTTGGCCTCCCAAAGTGCTGTGATTATAGGCATGAGTGACCGTACTTGGCCTTCTTTTTTTTTTTTTTTTTTTTTTTGAGACAGTCCTACCCTGTCATGTAGGCTGGGGTGCAGTGGTGTGATTTCAGCTCACTACAACCTCTGCCTATGAGGTTCAAGCAATTTTCCTGCCTCAGCCTCCTGAGTACCTGGGATTACAGACATGACCCACCACACCTGCCTAGTTTTTGTATTCTTAGGAGAGATGGGGTTTTGCCATGTCATCCAGGCTGGTTTGAACTCTTGAGCTCAAGCAATCTCACCCATCTTGGCCTCCTAAAGTTCTGGGATTACAGGCGTGAGCCACCACGTTTGGCCTGTTCCTGTTTTTCTAATGGTGAGTCACAAGACCCTCATTCCAGACAGGGTTCTGCCCCATAGCCTGGAGGAAAAAATTCTGCCCAGAAGAGGTCAAGAAGAATCTGAAGAGATGGGCCTTACAGGGTTTAGATCATACACTCTAGAATCACATTTTGACACATTTGTCCATATTTCAGTAATGTCTATGTAATACACTTCCATAAAAACCCAAAAGGACTGGGTTTAGAGAGTTCTGGAAGGCTGAACACATGAAAACTAACAGTAAGATGAATGAGAACTCCTCCACGTGCCAGGAGGAGAGTGGCACAAGCCAACTTTAGGGGACAGAAGCTCATGTGCTTGGGACCCCTCCAGACCTCACCTTATGTATCTCTCCATCTGGCTGTTCACTTGCACCCTTTGTAATATCTTTTACAATAAACCTGCACATTTAAGTGTTACTCTGAGTTCTGTGAGCCTGTCTAGCAAATTGATCAATCTCAAAGTGGGAGTCATGGGAACCCAACTTGAAGTCAGTTGGTCAGAAGTTCTGGAGGCCTGGACTTGCTACTAGTCTATTTGCAATCTTGGGGACTGAGCCCTCAACCTGTAGGATTCGATGCTACCTCCAGGTACATAGTGTCAGAATTGAATTCAAGGGCACTCAGCCAGTAGACACTGCAGAATTGATTGCTTGCTTATTGGTGGAGGAAAAAACCCACATTTGGTCACAGAAGTTTTCTGTGTTTATTCTTTTGTGGTGTGAGACCAGACAGAGGAAAATATGGTTTGATTTTTTTCCACTAAGTCTTAAAACAAATTATGCCTGGGCGCAGTGGCTCACACTGCCTGTATTCGCAGCACTTTGGAAGGCTGAGGCAGGTGGATCACTTGAGGTCAGGAGTTCAAGACCAGCCTGGCCAACATGGTGAAACCCTGTCTCTACTAAAAAAATACAAAAATTACCCCAACATGGTAGCAGGCACCTGTAATCCCAGCTACTTGGGAGGCTGAGGCAGGAAAATCACTTGAAACTGGGAGGCAGAGGTTGCAGTGAGCCGAGATTGTGCCACTGCACTCCAGCCTGGGAGACAGAGGGAGACTCCATCTCAAATTAAGTAACAATAATAATAATAAATCAGGCTGGGTGCGGTGGCTCACACCTGTAATCCCAGCACTTTAGGAGGCTGAGGCGGGAGGATCACAATGTGAGGAGTTCGAATCCAGCCTGACAAACATGGTGAAACCCCATCTCTACTGAAAATACAAAAATTAGCTGAATATGGTGGTGTACGCCTGTAGTCCTAGCTACTAGGGAGGCTGAGGCAGGAGAATTGCTTGAACTTGAGAGGTGGAGGTTGCAGTGATGCGAGATTGCACCACTGCACTCCAGCCTGGGTGACAGAGCAAGACTCCATCTTGAGGGAAAAAAAAATCTACCAGAACATTTTATGCATACAGCTGGACACAGAGACTCATGCCTGTAATCCCAGTATATTGGGAGGTTAAAGTGGGAGGATCACTTGAGTCTAGGAGTTTGAGAACAGCCTGGGCAACAACATAGCAATACCCAGTTTCTATAGGAAATTTAAAAGCCACACATGGTGATGCACACCTGTAGTCCCAGCTACTTGGGAGGCTAAGTAGAGAGGATGGCTTGAGCCTGAAAGGTCACGGCTCCTGTGAGCCATGATTGTGCCACTACACATCAGCCTTGGTACCAGATGAGAAATATGGCTCTCTTCCACTGGCTCACTGGCAGTCAGACTCCACGTCTTATCTCCCTTGTTCCCTGAAGATTGCCATTATCCTGTTCTTTTTCAAGGTGCCCAGATTTCACATTGTTCAAACACACAGGCTCTACAATTTGTGCAGTTAACACAATCATCACAGGGTCCTGAGTCGACATTCATGCTCCTGAGTTTACAAAGATGATGGGATTAAGAGATTGAAGTAAAAACAGGCATAGGAAATCACAAGAGTTTTGATTGGTGAAGTGATAAGTGTTCATGAATTTTTCATAATTTATGTTCGGAGACTATAGTAAAGATAGGTGTAAGAAATTACAAAAGTGTTAATTTGGGGAACTAATAAATGCCCATGAAATCTTCACAATCTATGTTTTTCTGCTGCAGCTTCAGCTGGTCCCTCCTTTCAGGGTCCCTGATTTCCTGCAATAGAATATCACATTGATTTGCTTGAATATGTTGAAGCATCCTTGCATCTCAGAAATAAGTGGCACTTGAATATCTGTAATCCTTTTCATATCCTCTTGAATACTGTTTATTTCACCTGGGTGCAGGCGGGCTGAGTCCAAAAAGAACGAAGGGAGATAAGGGTGGCGCCGTTTTATAGGATTTGGGTAGGTAAAGGAAAATTACAGTCAAGGGGGGGGTTGTTCTCTGGCAGGCAGGAGTGAGGGTGTCACAAGGTGCTCAGTTGGGGAGCTTTTTGAGCCAGGATGAGCCAGGAAAAGGAATTTCACAAGATAATATCGCTTAAGGCAAGGACTGGCCGTTTTCACTTCTTTTGTGGTGGAATGTCATCAGTTAAGGCCGTTTTCACTTCTTTTGTGGTGGAATGTCATCAGTTAAGGCGAGGCAGGGCATTTGCACTTCTTTTGTGATTCTTCAGTTACTTCAGGCCATCTGGGCATATAAGTGCAAGTCACAGGGTATGCGAGGTCTTGGCTTGGGCTCAGAGGCCTGACATCCCCTCTCTTATTTTCTCCATCATGGTGGTGTGTGCTTGACTACGCTTCCCATGTCGTCTCAGGACTTTCAGGATTAAGCAATTACCGCCAAGAAACAAAAGCAAAGTCGTCTGGACCCCCAGTCTCAGCGACCCTCCAGCCGCTGCTTCCTGAGTAGCTGGGACCTCAGGTTCCCGACCCCACCTCCGCATCCTTGCCGTGTTTAAGCAGCAGGTAGTGACCTCACTCCTCCCTGGCCTGAGCACTCATCCCGCATCCCAGGCAGAGGCCCTAGGGGAGTCTCTGAAGCTGAGCACAGGGTGGACTCTCCCTCCCGAGTGAATGGAGAATAGAGAGGGAGAGGATTTCTATTCGGTTCTGTGGGCCATCAGCATGAAATCGTAGGTTCTACTCAGGCAGGGCTTTGCATTTCACATTCTAGTTTGCATCCCCGTTCCAGACAATTCCAGGGCTTTTGAATTATGCCTCAGCCTTCCTGGCTGGTCTCGCCCCCGAAACCTGAAAAACAGGGGCTCTGGGAGCGACGCGGAGAGACGCACAACTCCCCCCCAGTCCCCGCCCGCTGTTCTAAAGAGCAAGGTCTCTCCGCCTCGCGCCCCACCCCTACCTCCCTCAGGCCCGGCTCACCTCCTCACCGGTCCCGCCCAGGCCTGGCTTCTGTTCTGCCTGCGCAGATTTGCGCAAACCCGGAAGCAGATCACGTGGAGGGAAGGTCCCACCGCCGGCGCGTGAGTTTCTCTCTATCTTGTATTAGGTCTGCGATTCCCAGGTCCCGGGTGCTTCTGTACACTTCCTGTCTGGTAGTTTTCCTGCTCAAAACTTTTTCTGACTCCTCCTGCCCCGTGCTTTTCAAAGTCCTCACCCGGGAGGCAGATTCTCACCCTGGGCCCCTCCCACCCTCGCCCTAGTCGGCCCCTGTAGCGCAGCGCGGCGGCCCCAGCCCCGGGGAGGCGGCGTCCTCTGCCTGGTCCTGGGATCCTGCAGCTCTTATCCTTGTCTTAAGGCGCCGTCGCCCCCCACCTCCTTCCTCGTACGGGGCCCTGGTGCTCCACAGGTCTCTCCTCCTAGTCACCGCTTCCCCTGAGCCCGCGGGGTGCCCAGGGCCTGTCCTGTGACACGGGTGCTCTTGCCTGCCCAGCTCTAGACCCTGGAAAATGCACTTCTCAGGGATGCAGGCGTCTTACTCTAAATTCTCCTGTGATTGTGTGGGCCAAAGGGATCAGGAGACAGAAAGAGGGAGTCAGAGAGCCATAGAAAACCTGAGACAGAGGAAAGAAGAATGAGAAAGACCCATAACCGATGGCAAAGTAGAAGATGGGTGAGGGATTTGCCAAGAGACAGCAAAAGTGAAAAAAAGATAAGAAAGCAAAAGGAGAAAAACAACTGGAGAAGTGTAGAGAAAAACTAAACGTACAGAGAGATGAAGAACAGCAATGTAGGGAGAGGGGCAGGAAAGAGGGAGGCTCATCAGAGTGAGGGAGAGGAGGAGGGGTTTGGAGCCAGGGCAGACAGAGCACAGTGGTGCTGGTGGCAAGGAGAACAGAGGGAGAATCACAGCAGGGAGGACGCCTGGGGATCTGGGGTGCCAGAGAGTGGGGACGGGGGGTATAACAGGGAAGACAGAATTTAACAGGGAGAGCAGAGGAGGAGCAGAGATGGGAGAAGAGGCAGAAATAGATGGAGATTGAGGATGGTCTAAAGATTGGGGAGAAAGAGCAACAAGAGGTTAAAAAAGTTGCGAGAATGGAGCAGAGGAGGGGGAAGAGAAGGAATAGAGGGAAGAAGGAGATAAACAACAGGAGAAGAGAGGTGTACAAAATATGGAGCAGAATCCCAGGGAAAAAGAAAAACGAACATAGAGAGAAGGGGAGAATGAGAGATATGTACAGAATTAGGGAGGGAAGCACAGTAATGAAGAAAGGGGCTGGGCGCAGTGGTTCACGCCTGTAATCCTAGCAATTTAGGAGACTGAGGCAAGAGGATTCCTTGAGTCCAGGAGTTTGAGGCCAGTCTGGGCAGTATAATGAGACACTCATGTCTGCCAAAAATAAAAAAATTAACTGGGGTTGATGGTACTCACCTGTAATCCCAGCTACTCTGGAGGCTGAGGCAGGAGAATCAATTGACCCCAGGGGGTCCAGGGTGCAATGAGCGGAGATCATGCCACTGCACTCCAGCCTGGTCAACAGATCGAGACCCTGTCTCAAAAGAAAAAAAGGGGTAGGCGACTTTGGGTTCAGATGAGTGGGTGAGTTCATTGAATATGATTAGTTGTGAGATGTTGACTTCCGT